AGGAGCCTGGCTCTCCTGGACCCAATGCTGCAGAAGGCGTGTGTCCTGAGGGATGACATTAACGCCATTACGGAGCGTCTCCTGAATGACTGGAAGCAGCGATCGGTCTCCTCCTCGCGTAGCGTAGGTTTTTTTTTGTTTGTTTGTTAGTCTCTCCTCTCCACACTCCAACTTGCCTAACCTTTCTTTATTGCTGCAAAAAGTACGGTGGATGTCCAGTTTACCGCCCAGATATTGTTTAAATAATCTAATGTTATTGCAGCAAAAAAGCGCACCATTACTAAAAAGAGAAATTTACATAGTTGCATTTCTTACTTATTTATCGGTTATTTTATTTTTATGTTCAGTTTTTTTGTTTTTTAAGTTTTATATCGAAGTTTATTAGTTTTATTATAGTTTTAGAGACCTTTTTAGTTTACTTAGTTTTGTTTATTGCAGGTTACCTTTGTTTAGTTGGTTTTTAGTTTACTCTTTTGTGTAGTTTTAGATTTGTTACCCATGTGCGGTAGCTTTTCGAGTTAAAATCCTTACTAGTTTACCTTACTTTAGTTGTGTTAATATACTTTCTTTAACTTATTGATAGTTATATTCTGTTTTTCAGTTTATTATATTTTATCATTTTATTTTAGTTTTAAATTACCCTTTAATAAATTGACTGAGGCTTATTTTACTTCACCAATTTACTAAAATACTTTCAAGTTTTCAGTGGCCCGACTTTCCAACAGTCATTTTAGTTAAGTTTAGATAGTTCCCAGTATTTGCGTAGCTGCACATTTGAATTATGGCGCTCTTTTTATTGACAGTTATTAAATTCTTTAAATTAATGTTTCTGTTTTTTATACTTTTTCAAACTTTATTGTTTCAAGTGTGCATTTTCTTTCCCCTGCATTATCCGTCCTTTATAACCTTTATTAAACCTGGTCCCGTTGGGAATGGGGATTTGGTGTGCTGATCAGGGGAGGTAAACTTGACCCCTACCAAAAGTGCTTTTATCCTTGCACAGTAGATTTAAATTTCTAGGCCACTATGATTTTCCTCAACTTTTACGTCACTTATCAGAGTAGGGCTGACACCTGCCCCAGCAATGAATTGGTTAGCGTGCAGCTTCCCCGAACGAAAGCCTAAAGCAAGACCCTAGACACCAAAATTTAATGTATACTTCATGCTGTTAAGCCTTTACTTGCAACCAATACTCCACCGATACTCCCTACCCTGGCATACCTATTCCTTGACGAGTGTTGGTTGATCGCTGGTTGATCTCAGTGCAACTTCATAGACGAGTGACTGGGTTCGCTGTGGATTGCCAGGCCGTAATCCTATTTCGGATTGTTGCTTGACTCAGCTACTTGTGTCCTGTCCACGACTAACGATTCTTGCAGGATTGCCATGACCCCGCTGCTTTCTCTTTCTCACAGAGCCGAGACAGGAACTCGCGTGCTCTGCTGAAGGAACAGGAATCTCTCATAAAGAACGTGCTGGAGAGATTTGATAGGCTGCGCATAATTTTCGGTGATACGATGGAGAAAAAGCTGGAACTCGCCGCGTCATTGGCTGCACAGCAGGGGTAAGTCCAGCCAGTCTTATCCTCTTTCAGATGGGCTTTTATCACTTTTTTTTCTCCTGCCTTGACTTGCGGTGCGGTTTGGCCGATAAGGAGTGCTTTTGTTGTGCAAATTCCCCCGATGAAGCCACTTATTTTCGTCCACACCAGGCGAATTAACTGCTTTTTTCTCCGTACTTTTAATCTCCAACACTAGTGCGCATGCCTATGTGTCTGCCTTTTAGCCGGAAGCGCTAAACCTTTACACTTGATTTCAAGGGACATAAACCTGTTGGTTTCGTTTGCGTCTTTCGCCACACAGCTGGTAGTCCCTTGAGAATGTCGGCTTTACGGCGACCATCCCAACTGAGCGTTTGTGAGCGTTACCGTGCAGGCAGAACCGGTTTTTTTTCAGCCTTCTGGTTCTACACGCAACAGAGAAAAAAACTGTCTGGCGCGCGCATTCTCAAGGTCGAGCTGCCATTCGATGCTCCTTCAGTTGGCCGTC